ATCTTGAAATCATCCATTGAAATCCATCACCATCTCAGATTTGATGTCTATGAACTCATGTTTGAGATCAATAATTTCAGATCTGAGATAAATGACCTCATATATGTCAAAAAAATGATAAATTGATATATTATAATAAAAAATCGAGAGTTTTTTGTTTGTTTGTTTGTTCATAGATCTAAAGTAAAATACGACTATAATTCATTTATCTAGTATGTACTCTGTTAATGAAAAATAAAGTTTATTCTCTTATGCTTAGACATATATTCAACAACATAGTAAAATTTTACTTTAAAATTCAGAGTAGATTTTACTCTGAAATACAATAAAATTTTACTTGAAGATTCAGAGCAAATTTTACTCTAAAGATTCAGAGTAAATTTTACCAGAAAACAAATCAGAAACTGAATAGACAAACATTCAACAACATAGTAAAATTTTACTTTCAATTCAGAGTAAATTTTACCCTAAAATACAGTAAAATTTTACTCCGAAATAAAGTAAAATTTTACTTGCATGTTAAGAAAACAAAACAGATAGCACCAGAGTAAAATTAGAGCACATATTAGAGTAAAATTTTACTCTCATTCTATCAAACAAAAACAGAGCACAAACCAGGGTAAAATTTTACTCTCATTATGTCAAACAAAAATAGAGCACACACCTGATTGAACTTGGCAAATCAACAAAAACAAATAAAAAATAACAACAGATTTATACAGCTTTGCAACGTAATCTCTCATTTAATTGAGAGTGTTGATCTTGGATGGTGAGATCGTGCATTATTGACCAAGGGTGAGATCGTCGGCGGTGAGATATTCAGACTTTCTATCAAACAAAAACAGAGCACAAACCAAAGTAAAATTTTACTCTCATTATGTCAAACAAAAATAGAGCACACACCTGATTGAACTTGGCAAGTCAACAAAAACAAATCAAAAATAACAACAGATTTATACAGCTTTGCAACGTAATCTCTCATTTAATTGAGAGTGTTGATCTTGGATGGTGATATCGTGTATTGTTGACCAAGGCTGAGATCGTTGGCGGTGAGATTTTCAGACTTTGAGATCGTCTTCATGGATTTCGCAGATTGTCTTCAAGATCCGTGTATGCATGAGCTGATATTGTTCAAATATATGATATATATATATATATATATATATGATGGCAATTTGGTCCAATGGTCAAAAAAAAATACAAATTATAGAATGTCCTTATTGAGCTAAACTTCTTTTACTGAGGGGCTTTTTGAATGAGAATTCATTGAGTTGTCCTTTATCTTGAAAAAAAGTCCAAAAAAGGGGGTTTCACCAAAAATTCCTTATTTTTATAAAGAGTTGGGTTTCTTTTATATTGTTCGCAATTAGAATCTCACATGAAAATTAACCCTAATGCTTCGCAGAAACTCTGTTTTTTGCTTTTTTCACCTTTTAAGACTCATTGAGTAGAACATTCATGCAAAAAAAATCAAGATGACCGTATATCGGTAGTTATATGTTTGAATCAAATTTATATTATAAAAATAAATAACTATTATTGAAATCATATTTGTCTTCTATTTTTTTAAAACAAATATAATTCAAACATATACTTGTTTGGTAACCATTCTGTTTTCAGTTTATATTTACAAAAATTTAAAAAACTGTCATAAAAAGTTGTTTGATAATTTTTTTGGTTTATAAATTTGAGGAAAAAACGTAAACTCAAAAAATGAGTTTACGTTTTCAGTTTTCAATTTTTTTTTCAATTAATTTTTTTTTTCAAATAATTTATTTTGAATTATTTTTTTTTCTATTCTTGAAATCATATTTGAATAACTATTCTTGAAATCATATTTGTCTTCTATTTTTTTAAAACAAATATAATTCAAACATATACTTGTTTGGTAACCATTCTGTTTTCAATTTATATTTACAAAAATTTAAAAAACTGTCATAAAAAGTTGTTTGATAATTTTTTTGGTTTATAAATTTGAGGAAAAAACGTAAACTCAACAATTTTCAATTTTTTTTTCAAATTAATTTTTTTTTCAAATAATTTATTTTGAATTATTTTTTTTTCAAATAATTTTTTTTTCAAATATATTTTTTTCAATTAATCTTTTTTTCAATTATTTTTTTTTCAATTAATTTTTTTCCAAACATTTTTTTCCCAATTAAATTTTTTTCAATTAATTTTTAATTAATTTTGTTTCATTTTTTTCAATTATTTTTTTTCCAATTAATTTTTTTCAATTATTTTTTTAATTAATTTTTTTCAATTATAATATGTGTGATCCCATTGTCATAAATAATAAAAATAAATATAAATATTTTATACCTGAACAAACATATTTTTTAGTTTATGTTTTTCAATTTTTTTAAATATTTTGTTCAAACCAAACGCGTTTGTAATTTATGTTTTTCTAAAAATAAACGAAAACCAATTTATAAAAATTTTGTAAAAAACGTAAATGTTACCAAACGTTAGTAATCTATATCAAATTATCTTGATTTTTTGCTTGAATATTTTACTTAATAGTTCAAATCACCGAAATCGATTTCAAAATAGGCATATTAAGTGTAAACGCTCTCTCAAGTTAAAATAATAATTTAAGAGAAGTCAAACTTATTTATAAATACATGAAATTGCCACTCTTTAAAAGTTTGCTTACGATTTTATAAAACTCAGGACTGGTTGAGTCAAGTTAGTTGTGAGTTGAGTTTGAGTAGCTTACTATTTAATTATTCATAGAATCGAGTTAAGTCGATTGATAAGTTTTAAAATATATTGAAATTTAATTTATTTACTAATGTTAAATGAAATTTTAATGAGTCAAATACGAGTCACTTTTGAGTAACTTAATTGGTATGACCTTGACCTCCCTAACCTAATTTGTTTGGCAACCATGATTTTTACTTAAAAATTAAAAAATCATTATAAATTATCAAATGTTTCTACTTATTATTTTTCTATACGTCTTTTCAAAAAAAAAAAAATTAAAAAATTATTAAAAACTAATCTCCCAAAAACCCTTTAAAATTAAAAATTAAGGAAAATATTTCGGTGTGTAATACACATCGTATGTAAGTTAATCACAAAATTACTTAAGTTTTCATGAATTTACATAAATGATCTCACAAAAATGAGTAAATTGAACATAAATTCGTGTAAATTCGTGAAAACTTAAGACTTATGCAAATTTATGTCAAATTTATATATTTTTGTGAAATCATTTTATAAATTTGTGATAGAGTTGCATACAATGTTCATTGTACCAAAAAAAAAAAAAAAAAAACCTCTTTAAAAAATAAAAAACGAAGAATAAATTCTCTAAAAACTATAAAACGAAGGATAAATTACACTTTTCTATCTTTATATTTGGCCACTTTCCTACTTGACCATTAATGTTTATTTTTTTCTACTTTAACATTTTATATTTAACGTTTTTCTTAGGCTTCGTTTGGGATGTGAGTTGGCTTTTTGGCTTTTTAACTTTTGACTATTTTAGCCTGGGGCTGAAAAGTCTCGTTTGGAATAGTCTTTTTGGCTTTTTTGACTTTTGTGAGAGAAAAAATGAAATAATTATAGTTTAGATGTGACATTTTATCTTATTGACTTTTTAACATATTTTGTATTTTTTGTGGCTAAAATAACCAAAAATTCCAAAAAAACTATATGCCAAACGAAGGCTTAATTTCTTCATGATACTAAACTTATGTTCAAATTAAACAAAAAATGTCATGATAATGGTCGCATAATATAATGAATATATTACTATATTGGGGTTTAAATTTATCTCGTATGAGTTATATATAATAAAATATTTTTATATCATATAATTGTTAATATGTCATTTTTTGTATAATTTTTAACAAAAATTAAATTTAAGGAATTATTTGGAATGATATAAATAAGTGTACTTTTTAACTCTTTATGAAAAAATGTACAGAAAAATAAAGAGATAATGTAACCCAAATAAATATATTTATTTAAGTAGGTGTACTTAATTTATGCCAAATAATATCTAAAAATAAATTAGAAAAAAAATTTAAAATATGAAAGAACAAGCCGCGAAAAATAAATTTTAAATATTGAAATGGAAAAAGTAGAATTTACTCATAAAACGAAATGGCCTAAAAAAATGTTTTGAGAAGTTAATTAAAAACTAATTTTTTAATTTTTTTTTAATTTTTTTTTGATTTTTTGATAGATAAAAAATATAAAAAATAATCAGTGTGTTTGGTTTGAATTTTTTTTATTTAGTTTTTTGAAAATTGAGTTTTTTGATTTTCGTATTTTTTTGTTTTTAGTGAATTTTTGTAAAATTTTAATCATTTTTTTTTATTTTTTTAGATGCACCTTACTTAGATGTATTTAAAAAGTAAAAAATTTATGAAAAAATATTTTAAAAAATTAATAAATATATAAAAATATAAATAATGTACTGAATTCTCATATTTTTTTAATATTTTTGATATTTAGTGAATTTTTAAAATATTTTTTTTCACAATATTTTTACTTTTTAGGTATACCTATGTCTAAATATTTAAAAAATTACTTAAAATATTTAAAAAATTCAATAAAAATAAAAAAAGACGAAAGATAAGGGAATAAATTTTTTTTTGAAAAACTCTAAATCAGGAAGATGAATATAACTTAAAAAGTAATTTTTAATTAAACTTTTCACATCGCCCAAAGTGTCGGTAAAAGTGCTGTGGTTCACGTATCACGTATCACATATATCGCTTTTAATCCGCACGTCATCATTCGTCGTTTGAATCCCACGTGTCACCATCCACCTGGCGCCAACCCGAGAAGGTATTGAGTGGGCTTGGAACATTGATTGCACCACAACGCAAGATTGAACACTTATCCATTTGTCTCCTAAAGGAAGACACAAAAATAATGGAATTCTTTTGACCAATCAAACTCCATTTGGAGCACCATATAGCATTGCCCCTGGGGCAAAATATAATTTCTCCACCAACCCCTCCGTCACCCTTCTCTCTCTGATTGAACCTCTCTCTTCTCCGCCACCAACAAACGTCCACTCTCTCTCTATACGCACGTACATTAGAATAGAGATATAGTGAGAAGGAACTCCTCGTGAATAGAGATGTACTCTCTCTCTCTCTCTCTAAAAAGTTCGAATCGAAACCGATATTCGTGGCTGAATCGTCGAACACAGTAGTGGACCGAGCAGCTCCGTCGTTCTCGCTTCCAGGTCCCCTCTCCGCCTCACCCACACCACATGTTCGTTCCATTTCTGTCTTCGATCCTCAATTGTCGTTACCTTCTGCTTTCTCTTCTCTCTTCTCTCTCTTGATGTTGAGTTTCAGACTTATTAGGGTTTGTTTATTTTTTCGATTTAATTGTCCATTTCAGGGTACACTAGGGTTTGATTCACTGTTTTGAGATCGATCTGGTGTGGCCATGGCTGGTACCGGCCACTTGATCTCTGTTCATCCCGAAGACCTCAAGTTCCAGTGTACGCCCAATCTCTCTCTCTCTCTGTGTTTATTGCATTGAAAGATGTTTGTAATTTTATCTAAAATTCAGCTTGATTCTACCAATTTTACTCGATTGTTTGGGAAATGATGGCTTCCTAGGTTAAAGGTGCATCTAATTATTGATTTAGTTCAGCATAGAAAGCTCGCTCTTTTAGCGTCTGTGATTAGGGGCCAGAGTCCCACCAGTGAGAACCGCAGTACTGAGAAAAAGCTCACTCTTTTAGTTTCTACGATTTGTGAAGCAGTGTCTTACGATGTTGGGCTAACGTGTAATGTTTCTGGGTATCATAACTCGACAGAACTATTGATATATATAAGATTGTTTCAGAAAAATAAGCTTGCGAACTGTTTGATTGAATTGAAATAATTTGAAAAAATCAAAAGTTGATAGATTTGAAATGGGAAAAAAAAAAAAACAAAAAAAAAAACCCTGAATTTATGACGTAAATCCCCCATGTAGCTATAGGGGTATTTTGGAAAAATCAAGAAAATGAGACATCCACACCAACAAATGCCTTCCCTTTATAATAGTATATGTATGTATTTGATGTGCAATTATGGGAGAAAATGATGCATACAGAGGCCCAAAGAGTTCAGAACAACCCATTTTTTTTACTAGTATTTGAGATCATACATACCTATAAAAGCGTATGAATACTACAAGATGGAAATATGTTAGTTTCTTCTTGATTATATATAATTTATAAATATATGTATATATATGCTGCAAGTGGGTTGCTTAGAGTGGATTTTTTTGCTTTATGCTTGGGAAATCCATAGTATTAATAGGAGATTGATGAAAAGTTGTGGAGAGAAGTAATATTGTCTTTATAGTTTTGTTCACATGGATTCCTTATAGATGTGGTATTATGGGTTTAGAGGGAAAGAAATCTGGATGATTTAGCAGCATGATAAAATTGTAAGTAGGGACCGAGCTTAACAAACAAGAGGGGTCAATATATCTAGGACTAATATTGAATGTAGTGAGTGTAATTCTTAGCATAGACTAGAAGTTTCAGAGTTAAGATTTCAGTTGTCTCTGTTTAATTATTCACGATGAGAGTGAGAGTAAAGAGGATGTTAAAAATACCATAGAATGGCAGGATCAAATAAAAATGGATTGAGGTAATGGGGAAAGTAACGGTAAAATATGATTTAGGTGAAGTTGTTGCCCTAGTTAGTAATGTGACGAAACAGAACTGTTGTATAACATGTTTGAGCACTCAAAATTTTAAATATAATTGAGTGAGTAAAAGATTAAATGCATTATTGGTTGCAATTAGATTTAAGCACTCAAAAATTGAAATATTAATCGAGTCCAAAACTAAAACATTATTTGTTTTCTATGTTATGGTCAGGTCATTGTTAAAATGAATCTTTCTTGGTATGAGCGTAACATACCCCCCATGATGAGCATGTTTGAATGGGTAGAGAGTTATTATAACCACAATTTTATAGGTGTTCTTTATTGTATTAGAAATTGATTGAGTTGATAAGTTAAATTTGCAGAAATTAATTCCCATGCTTGTGTATTGGGCTGCATCCAGGTGGGTGTTTATACATATTCAAAATGGCTCTGTAAATAGTTACACAATTAGTTTTCTTCATTCTAAAAAGATATAGTACTTTTTTTTTTCATTCTCAGTTATAGTTTTTATGATCACAAAGTTTTAGAAAGCTCTGATGGAATTCTGCTCATATGTGTTCCTGTGATCAGTTGAGCTGGAAAAACAAAGTTATTGTGATCTTAAAGTTGCAAACAACACAGAACATTATGTTGCCTTCAAGGTACTCTCTCTTATACTGTACAAATATTTAAAATCACTTGTTAGTGGACAGATATTTTTAAAGCTCTCTCTCTCTCTTATTTTTTTAAGCTAATACGGCATTCTGCTAGTTATTTATATTTGTTTGTTCCCTTGTTTTATTTGATAGGTCAAAACTACTTCGCCAAAGAAATACTTTGTACGACCAAACACTGGTGTCATACAGCCATGGGACTCGTCTGTCATAAGAGGTGCTGCTTTTTACTTTGTCCCGTTCTTGTGGTAGGGAATAAAGATTCCTTTTAGGAAATGACTGTTCCAGGAATGCAGTGGTTTCACATTCTGTAAACTGATTGGCCATGTATGTGGCATGAACAGGAACAATCAACCTAGTATTCTATTGGTTAATATGTCTGTGCCTATATATTGACAATTGCAATCATAAATGCCAAAGCTTAAGAGAACAACGTAATTTCATTACATAATACTCTCCTATTAGGTTTGTTTGGCTGTAACATTCTTCTTTCTTGTATTAAAAAACATGCTTTGTTGACCTATATATATATATTTGTCAATGGTGTCCAAAATAAAAAAAATAAAAGGGTGAATTCTTCTAAGGTTTTTGATAATTACAAAGACCATCCCTATGATTTCTAAAATTACACCACCTCCCCTGACAAAGTTGTCGGTTAACCATTAATGACAAAATATATACATTTGCTATTTTATCCTTCTACAATATTATATTTTCGTAACAAAAAGATGTTATATTAACTCATTTTTTTACCTCCCTCATTCTTTGCCCTTGAAACCAGGTGGAGTAAATCTTTGTAACCAAACAAAGCCAATCTAATCGGGTCTCTGTGACGAAACACTTAAAACCCAATTACAATTGCTACTGCCCATACTATTTGCATTGCTATTGGCCACCATCCCAATAACCAATTAACACCAATTATCACCACACCAAAAGATTACCATCGATCACCCCATACACAACACATCACTGTCATATTAAACCCGTTTATGCCAATCAACGCTAGACCAGAACTAACAGTGTTGCTAGCAAGTTCTTACCCTCGTCACCACGCAACACTGCCATCATGCTTTGCATCCTGTACAAGTCCCTTCTCTCTTTTTGTCTCTGTTTGGATCTTGGGTGTATCGTTATATACACACACGCACATCCACCAAAACAAGAGTGTATATGTTTATATATGATATATTACTTATTTATACATAAGAGCTTTCGCAAAATGCAAATCACCATGGTATAGCTGGCAATGTTGCTATTGCTAACTCAGAAAATCAAGAAGACCTACAGGCTACACCCGATATATAGCAATATGTAAATCGTAACTAGTTATTTTTTCTCTACATTCTATTTGGAGCAAACCCATTTATTTCTTCATTTTCTTTCTGTATAAATAAGAAGGCCCATGCCTCACCCATTCTCTCTCTATAACTGGAGGGAGAACCCACCTCCTCTTTCTCTCCCCCTCCAAAAATATGGTTTCTCCCTCTACAAATATACATTCTGCACCAAAAATTTACAAGGTTAATATTTGTTTAATTCTGATTCTCGTTGAATTTTGATTTGTTGGTCATTGGTAAATAATTGAATTTAGAGGGAGAATGGGAGTATGGTGATGGTGTTGTATAGATGCTATCTGTTAGGTGATCTATTAGATCAGGGTTTATGTTTCTTATGTATGATCCACGCTTCACTGGCTTCAATCAATTACATCCACTTGCTTGTGCCAGTGTCCGATTTTTTTTTTAATAATATAATTCCAATGTCATTAAGATAGCGTCATTTGTAAAACTGGTTCCAACTCACTGCTGTATCTGTAGTCACCCTTCAAGCTCAAAGAGAATACCCTCCAGGTATGCAATGCAAGGATAAATTTCTTCTACAAAGCACAATTGTGGCTCCAAATTCTGATGTTGATGAGCTTCCTCAAGATACTGTAAGAATCTTTCTTGGAGAATAGTGAATTCATTTTGTTGGCTTGATTGGAATAAAAAATAGTAATGAGTACGTTTTTCATGTGCAAATGATGTACGCGCTGTTGCACCCAGTTCAATAAAGACAGTGGAAGAACAATGGAGGAACGCAGGCTTAGGGTTGTCTATCTTTCTCCTGATGCAGCTGTTGGAAACTCGGAAGATGAAGCATCAAAGAGCTCCAAACAAAGTTTTGATAACAGCTCCGTGAGTTCTACTAAGCTAGAAAGATATTTCTGAAACTTCCTTTCTGACAACTTATTATTTATTTATTATTTTCAATTGCAGATGCGCAGCTCCTCAAGCTCTGATGATGTGAGTAATCTCTTTATGGGGCATTCTTTCCTGAATTAGTTCTATTATTATATATGTACTCCTAAATTGTCTGAGTCTTGTTATATTTAGAGTTGGTAGAATTTTGCTTCTTTTCTCATTTATGGGCATGTAAACTACCCTGGCATTTATAAATGACAACAATGCTCCTTGCCTGTAAGGCTGTGCGAAGATGTACTCGGATCTTCTTGCTCAAAGCTGACATGGAGCATTATTTCTCTGTTGTAGAAGCTAGTCAAATATATTGCTTTTATCTTGTGACAAAGTGTGTCCTTCAAGTGCCATTTTAAAGGCATTATGTGCTTTCTCAAATTCTTTATTGGTTACCTATTTCATAAAAGTGGTGTCAAATATTTACATGGCGGAATCTGTGCATGTTAAACACTCACTTAATTTGCTGATCTTTAGTGGAAAGGAATCCATCATTATTTGTGCAACGTCCTTGTGAGAGGATTTTTTATTTTTATTTTAAGAACATGCTGCTGTATCTCTTCATCTCGTCTGTTAGGTTTTGTTTCTCAGTTTAATGGTCTGGTGTAGGAACACATATCTTAGTATCTCAAAATTTTCACTGAATTTTTAGAATGATACATGTATTTTCTGTATCCGAAGTCCGAACTTTAATCTTTGCAATTATTTTTATGCAGAATCAGGCTTTGCAGCGCCTCAAGGAAGAAAGGGATACAGCTGTTCGACAAACACAACAACTGCATCAAGAACTGGTTAGTGTGCTCTGTTTCTTTTTCCTTACAATGATTATTTATGATTTGATTTATAATTTTTTTATTTTTATTTTTTTTAACATATATTAACCTAGATGTGCATAGATACAAAAGAACATTTTTGCATTGGTATAGAATAATGTTCAAAGACATTTTAGACATGGCAACTCAAGCCAAACAGGGGATGCGATTTTCTACATATTCATTTCTATGATATCTTTTTCTTTTCTTTTTTTTTTGTTTTTTTTGAATTTAATTTCTATGATATCTTGTGCCACAGAAAAAGGAACATACTCAGATGATGAGAACAGGTTGATTGTTAAAAAATCTTTAAATTAAAACACTAATACTATCTTATACTTGATAATTCTTTTACAGGAAATGCTGAAGAGACGAAACAGTCAGAAAAGTGACCCTGGCTTCTCCTTCACATTTGCACTTTTCGTTGCACTCATTGGAATCATGGTTGGCTTCCTTCTAAACCTTTCATTGTCTTCACCATCAACAGAATAATTTCACCTGCTTCACAGTTTTAGGAAACGAGTTTTCTAGTCTACTGTATAATTTCTTACGTTCACCAAGAGTGGAATGCTTGCTTCTGTGTTCCTTTCCCTTTGTAAATTGAGCATTGTGTAGTTTTTGCTTGATCAGTTGTTCAGAATCAATTTATTGGACCAATATTTCATTCGAAATGCTAGATTTTCCTTTGTCTAATAATCAATAGCGTTTGTGTACCGGATTCTCCTGTGGAGATTTCTCCCTTTACAGTGTGTTGTAAACAATGAATTCAGATTTTGGTAGATAAGTTTCATTAATTATTATTAGGTGCAATGTGTACGATTAATTTGATCATCGCGTATCAAGACATGTCAAAAAGAAGCAATGCACAGTTCGAGTCACAATTGAGAAATTGTTATTATTGTTAGATTTTGTTTAATCACACAAGCTTAATTGTTGTGTCTAATAAGTAATGACAAAGTACCCTAGCACAATGCCAAGTTTGCATAAATTGTGGTTCTATTTTAGGGTTTTGTTTAAGTGTGCAACCCCTTTAAGGTTGCACACCATATGCAACCCATTGTTAGCCGTTAGATTACAATAATTGATCAAGACCATTGAATTGTTTAATCGTGAAAAAGTTGAAACCGGGGCAACCGGTTAATGCTTGTATTTGCATGATTGCATCCAACTCACTCTCTGTATTTCGTCTCTATCTCTCTCTGTGTAAGGTTGAGTCAGTGTAACCCTTGATTTCCATTAACAACGAGAAGCCCTTGCTGGGTTGGTTCCATTGACGAAGCTCTGTAGGGAACAGTATAACGGGCGATTTCCAACAACAACGGAAGTATAAGGCCGTGTTGGTTCCATTGCTGAAATGAAACCCTTCTCTCCAACTAGATATAAGGTATGGAGCTGTCTCCCTCTCTCTGTATCCCTCTCTATCTCTCTGGCCTCGTCACTTCAGTTATTTTCCCTCAACTAAACCCCGATCCTAACTTCAACCGCTCTACGCTTCACTCAAACGGAAACCCCTCCATTGGCAACTAATCTCTCTCTTTCTCAAGCGAGTGTTTGTGTTTGCAGAAACAACTAAACCGTGTGAAAATGTTATGTTTGTGTTTGTGTTAACATTTTTCAGTCATCAAGTAATTGTTTGTACTAATGTCATGTGCAGTATGGCCCCAGCGGAAGTTAAAAGGGAAGGTGATGATTATGACATTCCAAATGAAGCAGATGACATTCGTTTGATGAATGAAAGTCGGGCGGAACCTTATCATGGTTTCGAAGCTGGTCCGAGCAATGAAGAAGCAACCAACATGAACGTTGAAGATGGCAGAGCCGATGTGAAAAAAGAAATGGTTGACGATGCTCATCGCAATGACATGGTTGGTGATGTTGAACGTGTTATTCTGGAACAGAAATTTGATTCGGTCGAAGATGGAGAAGCTTTCTATAATGCGTATGATAAAGCCAAAGGATTTAGTATACGGAAATCCAGATTTAACACAAATAAAGAGGGAAAGGTCGTTAGTAGCCTGTGGTTGTGTTCAAGGGAAGGTCAGAGATTACCAAAATACTTGGACCGTGTTGCTGAGAAGAGTAGAGCTCCCAAGGCACTAACAAGAGTAGGTTGTAAAGCCAAATTTCGCATACGGTACGATGCAGATGCTGGTGAAGGGGGAAAGTATGTTATGACTCACTTCGTCGCAGACCACAACCATGAATTGGCGGAACAACATTGTGTGATGTATCTGAGGTCACATCGCAGTTTAAACAGCGCTGACAAAGCTCAAGCAATGGTTATGCGCAACGTCGGTGTGAAGACTAGCCAAATCATGGACTATATGGTAAATCAATCCGGGTCTTATGAGAATGTTGGTTTCATCCGTATGGATCTGCACAACCATATTCAAGTCGAACGTAGAGCAGAAGTTGAGGATGGTGATGCGCAGCGCAGGGTGCGTTGGTTTACCTATGTGCAAAACTTGATGTTGATGCACGTTTTTTTTACAAGTATGATGTGTGTAACGATAACAAGTTACAAAATCTGTTCTGGGCAGATTCAAAATCGCGGGCCAACTACGCAAAGTTTGGTGATGTGTTGATATTTGACTCAACTTACAGAACCAATGCATACAAGAAACCTTTTGTCATGTTGGCTGGTGTGACTAGCCACTTTAGGGCCACAATATTTGCATGTGTTTTGCTAGCTAATGAGACAAGTGAGACATACACATGGGTTTTGGAAACATTTATGGAGGCGATGGGTAGGAATGGCAACGGGGTGGGGCGGGGCCGGGGATCACCCTCCTCGTCCCCGATCCCCGATGGTAAAAAATTCCCCGGCCCCGATCCCCGACGAGGACCCTGTCACCGTCCCCATCCCCGCCCCCTAACGGGGATCGGGTATCCCCGACCCCGAAAATTCCCCGCCCAAATCTGTTTCAACATCATCAACAACTTTTAACATCAACAAAATCATCAAGAAAATCATAAAAAAAAATCATCAATCAACAAATCTGAGTGTGCATTCATCAATCAAGAACATCATCAACGTGCATCAACTACCAAAAAAAATAAAATAAAGACAAATAGAGACAGATCTGAGATTTGTGTGTCATCAAACAGATCTGAGTCGGCGATGGTGACTGCACCGAAGGTGGACCACGGTGGCTGCGCTCGGCGATGGTGGCTGTGATCGACGATGGTTGCTGCAATCGGCGATGCTAGACGACGACGGCTGCATGGACGAAGGCGATGAACGACAGTGGCTGAGACGAACAACGGAGGAGGACGGCGGTGCGAGGCCGCATCGACGGTGGCGCTGAAGGGGAGGAGAGTACGAGAGTGAGAGAAAGAGAGACTGTGAGTGAGTGAGAGGGAGAGAGAGAGATGAGAGGTAGTGAGATGATGAGAACAAGAGAGGGAAGAGTGTGTAAATGAAAGAGAGAGAAAGAGAGACGGAAACATAATATATAAAGTATATTTTATATATATATATACTAAGTCGGGGACAAACTGGTCGGGGCCGGGCCGAGGCCGGGGATTGGGCATTAATTACCGTCCCCGGCCCGAAATTAATCGGGGATTAATTTTTAAATACCATCCCCTCCCCGTCGGGGGTATTTTTCGGGGAAAAATCATTCAAATCGGGATCGGGGGATCGGGTCCCCGTTGGGCCGGTTTCAAATTGCCATCCCTAGCGATGGGCAATAAAGCACCTGTGTCTGTACTGACAGATGGGGATAAGGCGATGCGAGAGGCAATCAGAAGAGTATTTCCAGACGCAAGACATCGATTATGTAATTCACATCTTGGGAAAAATGCTGTTTCAAATGTTCACATAAGTGGCTTTGCACATGCTTTCAAGCAGTGCATGGACATGGAAACAGATGAGAAACTTTGAGCATGGCTAGACGACAATGGTCGAAAAATTTGGACTTCAAACCAACAGTTGGGTGTTGAAGACATATGAGAAGCGTCATATGTGGGCTGAGGCATATATGCGTGGACATTTCTTTGCTAGGATGAAGAGCACTCAGCGCTCGGAGTGTATGAATGCTTATTTCAATCCCTTCCTCCAACACAAATTGAAGCTATATGAATTTGTTAGGCACTATGATCGGGCTCTTGCAAGGATAAGGTATAACGAGGATGGAGATGATGCTGAAACAAATAACACTTTTTCGGTATTGATTATTCCATTGCGAGATATAGAGAGACATGGAGCTGAGCTATTCACCTGAAATATATTTAGAATGTTCCGTGATGAAATCTTAGAAGAGGGGAAGTTGAATGTCAAGGACGTGTTCCCTTTGCCGGATGGTCAGAAATGCTACTATATTCATAAGTACAAATTGAAGGATAGATCATGGATAGTAACACACAATCTAATGGATACTGCAATGAGATGTTTTTGCATGAAGTTTGAGTCGCTGGGGTTACTTTGCTGTCACATGATATGTGTTATGAAAGTCGAAAATTTAACGCAAATTCCCCCAACTTGTGTGCTGCATAGATGGACAAGGGCTGCAAGCAAGGATGGCCAGCAATGGCCTCAACCCTCAATTGATAGCACTACAACACAGACAGCCCGGTATAGGATATTGAGTTCTTCCTACAATGAAATGTGTTTCTATGCCTCGCAATCAACGGAGGTTTCAAAGAGGCTAGGGATGCATGTCTTCCGATGACGAGCCGGATGAAGGAGTTATATGAGAGGAATCTGAACGATGGGAATGGAGACAAAGGGAAACATTCATTCCCTCGACAATTTGGAGTTAAAGATCCTGATGTTGTGAAGACAAAAGGGAACTCAGGACGGGCCTTGTCCAACTGTCGAAGACCAAGAAAATGTGGGAATTGCAAATGCATTGGGCACACAAAGCGAACGTGTCCTAAGGTTCGGTTTAGCCGAACAGTGGGTAGTAACTCAGATGTTGATACAACCCACATAACTGACCGTGAGTATAATGCGGAGTCATTGCCCGTTCGTTGCAAAACTGGGTTGGTGGATCCAAGTACACCGTACATTAAGCAATAGCGGCTGTTTTTCGATGCTTTTCCTGATTCCAAGCAGCCCGTGGGCCAATACGTTAGTGTTGAAGCAGCAGTGTGCAAAAATGATTCGACCACAATTGATGAGGTGAATCAGGTAATTGTATAATTTGTATGATTTACTTATTCCCTTAATCTATTAGGTAGACAGTACTAGCTATTGAAAACACATGTAAATAATGTATGTAGTTTTCATTTTACACGGATTGTTGTACGTAACGTGTAAATAATTGGTTAGGTACAATGCCAGGAAATGACACAATGTTACTTATGTACAAGGCCACGAGTTGTAAATTTTTCATATTGTTTAGAATGATGTTATCATTTGTGTTTGCAGTGACTTGTGAATTTGAACACTAATTGAAGGTGAGATATATATGGGTTGTCTGTGTATTGTTTTGGGTGAGAAATTGGCTTATGTCTGTATTCCAAGATTCCTATTGCAGGTTGCTTGTTTCTATTCCATATTTGTTGGATCTAACTGAAGGGTTTTTTGCGGTGTGGTTTATCAACTAACGATGTGTTTGGCTTCGTATTGATTTGTTATGACTTGTTTCGGTAAATTAGTATTATATTTCGAGTAAAATACGAATTTGGTCCATGTGGGTTTGTAAAATTACATACCAGCACATGCATTTTGTATATAATCCAAAGAATAATGCTTGGGAGCACTAATTAGTGCTCCCACTAATTAGGTGGCTGTGGGTCCCGCCAGTAATGATGTGATGTTTTGGTCTTGGAGTTGTATTTTTTTTTTTTTAACTTTTTTAATGCATTAGTGCTATTAGTGGTGATGTTTTTAGTGGGATGAATCATTGTTGTAATCCAAATGATAGTTAATTTTGGGTGTTACTTGGAGAAAGTAACCCAACGAACTCGTTACTTTATCTCCATGCCGATTGCTATATGAATTATGAGTAACGAACAGGAGTTGTGAAATTATTTTATGTTAATTATGAAAGTGATGGGTTTATTGTTAGTAAAATTATGGTCGCCCTATATCGACAGCAACGAAGCAGTAATTTAAAGTTGACAAGTTAAAGAAGAAAATCAAGCAATTGTGGTATTGGTTGAAAAGGATGAAGACTTCTTTCGATGAACTGATGATAACAAAGTATAAAGTAATAAAGTACAAAGTAGAAAGTAGAAAGTAAGTTGTTGTGCTGTTGTGTTGTTTGTAACAAAGTAGAAAGTATAAGGGAAAAAACTACTCAGAAATTACAATATAGAAAGTAAGTTGTTGTGTTGTTCATGTCCTCTCTCTCTGCAAACATTCTGCCCTTTATAGCTATTATTTCCGACGACCCCATGATCTGCTGATTCTGCAACTGCTTCTGTGCAACTTCTGTAACTGCACGGTCATTTCCGTGTCTTGAAACTACATAAAACCTTCACTTGTACCTGTCGAAGTGCATATAATTAAAGTTGCCACCTGTGCCCAAGTCCTTTTAGCCTTTTCTCGACAGATACAGACTCTCAATTCGTTCATGTTTCCTCTTGGAGGCTGGCCACTAAATCCATGAGCACTGCCGGTAACTGCTCCAGCGTGTAAGTCAGGTGGCATGCAAGATTCAATGTTAGTTGATAACCCTTGTCTTCAGGTGGACTTACCATGTGTCCTCAATTGAATGGAGCAACTGTTGGCAGGATGTGGAAAAAAATAGGTGCAAAGAGGAATTTTTTTAAAATAACCAATCATAATTTAGCTGAAAATATGAGTGAACTTTTTTTAAAAAAATAGTTTCCATTTTTTTTATTATAAACCCGAGATGTATATTTTGTTTTTGATATAAATAAGTTGTGTATTTTGGTTACGTAAAATGTAGGACAATAATTGTGTTTAAGTCATTACAATACAGAAAAAGGTTATTTCAAATATATTTTTAAGTTTACCGACATTGAATATATTTTGATTAAATTACAGAGAAAATTCAATATTTGCTAGAGTTTGATGATTCAAAGTCAGGGGCAGTAACAATGAGTGGCCAAGTGTTGTGGTTTAGTGGCCCAGTTTGCAAGGATTGTGGTTGTGTTTAGTGAACAATATTCTGTCGATTTTTGTCTCATAATGATGAGGGACATGCCCCACAATGGTGAAAAGGAAGGTCGACAGGGAAGAGTCAATATTTGGCAGAGTGGACTTGAAGATTCGAAGTCAGGGGGCAGTTACAGTGGCAGTTATGGTGTAGACGTGTGGGATCATGCAATGATGGGTCACAAAAACAGTATACGGATATCAAAACCAACGATCTCCCTTCTAGGCTTTCCAAGTATACTAAACCTCCACTTCTATTTGTCGATCTCCCTTTTCTTATGTTTATTTCATGGCCACTAACTGTTTCAAACTTCTATCGACAGAGCAAGGCTCTTGCTTTGTCTCATGCTTCCTCCTGAAAGTGTGCCCACTAACTCATAATGATGAGGGACATGCCCTCACAATGGTAAAAAGGAAGGTCGGCAGGGAAGAGTCAATATTTGGCAGAGGGGACTTGAAGATTCGAAGTCAAGGGGCAGTTACAGCGACAGTTATGGTGTAGACGTGTGAGATCATGCAATGATGGGCAATAAAAACAGTAAACGGATATCGAAACCAACGATCTCCCTTCTAGGCTTTCCAAGTATACTAAATCTCCACTTCTATCTGTCGATCTCCCTTTTCTTGTGTTTACTTCATGGCCACCAACTATTTAAAACTTCTGTCGACAGAGCAAGACTCATGCTTTGTCTCATGATTCCTCTTGAAAGTGTCTCCACTAACTCCATGACTGGTGCTAAAAACTTCCCCCATCACTTCTAGGTGACCCACATGCAGAGAGCCCACTTTCAAGTGGTGGACATTTCTTCAGACTTTGCTATGTGTCTTCGATTAAGTGGACCATCTGTCGACAGAGATTGGCAAGACTTGGTGCAAACAATGGCCCCCTTGTTCAAGTTAAATATCATATGAATTAACCTTGCGGAAGTTATTGAGACCCCCTCCAATCACCACCTGTACCACCACCCCACCCCTCCTACACACATACGTGGGGGCTGGTGATTGTAGTGAGAAGGAAAAAAAAAGAAGAAATTTGTGTTTTTTAAAAACTGGCCAATCAGAGAGAGAGGGGGTCATGGGGGTGCCCCCCTTGTGGGGATCCAAGTCATATGATATTGAACTTCAACAAGGGGGCCCAATAGCAAATTTCTTAATACGGGCCCAAAACAAACATAAACTACAGCCCAATATAAGAGCATTTAAATATACTGGCCCCATCATAAGCTATAAAAGACTCACATTTTCAACTTCAAATCACTTCATTTCCCTTTGATTCGAACTCCCCAGACTGTACTCCTTCTTCTTAAGCATTGCCGTTCAAAACCAGAGCACCATAAAACCCTAAGCCATGACGCCGAAAAAATCTCAACCATCTCCATCTGAGGAGAACAATGAAGATCTACTCTGCTTCTCAGACCCTATCAGAGCACGTATCGCTCCTCTAAGATTTGGTGCAACCCTATTGCCTAGCACAAGCTCTGTCGCTAAGGCTACTCTAGGCCCTACCTTCGCGTCTTACTTCCCAGACGAGCTAGCTCCATACTATCCCCTTGGTAATGGTGAGAACCTTCTTCTCAACCAACCTGGACTTAAGTGGACTAACTGGAATGTCAGCAAAAACCCACTCAGATCGTGGAGGTCACCAGACTCTATTTGGCAAAGCTGGGCCAGGAGAATTGAAGGTCACGACGCTGAAGTATGGAAGGACCAGGGCATTAGTGAAGCAATTAGACTGTCGACTAAAAATTATGACATGGACAAAGGGCTGATTGCTGCTGCAGCATGCTTTTGGTCGCAATCTTGTAACTCCTTACTCCTCAATTTTGGTATGATTTCCCCTACCATCTTAGATATAGCTTACTTGACTGGTCTCCCAATCTTGGGCAATCCAATTCATGCTCTCCTTGAGCCTCCAAAAGTGACATTTACTTTAAACACTGATATGTGCTATACAGATTTCACCAAAAAATACAAAGGCGAGCCTGGTTCCCTTGTCCAGGACAAAGAAAGAACTGCTTTTTACTTACTTTGGCTTTGTGAGTTTGTTTTTTGTGTCCCTGGGTACAAGATCACGAAGGAATACCTCCCCTTTGCCTTGTGTATGCAAGATGGCCAACTTATGGCTTTAGCTCCTTATCTTCTTGCCACCATTTACAAGGCCTTATTTTCCTTTGTGAACAAGAAGATTTCTGGCAACTGTGGTGGTCCCTTCTGGCTCTTCCAGGCCTGGTTGTATGCCTATTTCCCTAAGGCATGACCCCGACCAGCTAACACCTTGAAACCAGTTTTCCACTCGTATGCTGAGCAATTGCTCACTTATAACAGCCAACGCATCCTCACTTTTAGAAATCATCTTACCATGTTTTACAACCTTCCTTCAAAGAGACCTTCCAACTTGTACATGCCATTTCAAAACTTTCAATTCTCCTCCAGTAGACTTTGCTTCCTCTTCACAGACCCTTCTGATTTATACAATGACCAAGTTCAAGAACAAAATGAGACTTGGAGACATATTCTCACCTCTAGACATGTCTTGGTTGGCTGTTCCATATCCTCCAGCAAGATTTCCAACTGCAGTTTTGAGACATACTGTCCCAATCAATGGTCCAGGCAATTAGGTCTTTCCCAGGGTATCCCTTATCCTTATTTCCACCCAACCATCCATGAGGAGATTGGGTCCAGAATCTACTTCAAAGATTCTAGGCAAGCTGAATCCATTCTGACAGAGAACATCAAAATTTTTCAAGATTTTGGCCCCTCCTTCTTCAAACCTGCTTCGGACTGCTCCACTGCTTTTGACCATTGGTGGGGACTTATGACTGCCATTATTTTCTGCAAGCCACTTGAAACCTGCCTTCATGATACTTGTAGTCATAATCAGGGCCCCATATCCTCGCCTTCCAAGCTTAAGGCTACAGGTATCCTTCCTTCATATACTTCATATCCCTGACTGTGTCATGCAACTCTGTAACCTCAGAACGAGCACAACATGCATCATCACTGAGCGCTCAATCGATGACGTCTGAGTCTTAAGGTCGGTCAAAAATGGGGTGTCTACAGTTGCCCCTCTTTGACAGAACTCAAAAGTCATAAGTAACGGGAGTGAATGTCAAAGTCCAGAGCAGCCTCACAGAGACAAGCATAGAGAGGAACTACCACCCGTACCCCTGCCGAGACAGAGGTCACGGCGAAGAAGAGAGAAGAGCCTTCTACTGCTCCTGCTCTAAGTACAGACCTAAGTGATTGGGATATCCCTCTCAGCTAAATGGTTGGCCAAATAACATCAAATCCTTCAGGGCAGCTCTACCAAGTGTGCTTTCGCTTCACATATTTACATCATCTTAATTTTCGTTCACGCCCGACTGATCACTTACTTTTGTGCAGAGAAA